GATTCAGCCACAACATAAAACAGCAATAAGTTCGTCTGAGGCAAAAGTGAACCTCATGGCTAAAGCTTTTCCATCTTTTCCCCTATAGACATTTGATTACGCACAAGTAGGTGACCAGCTCAGGTTTATGCAGAGCAGAAGGGAGAGAGCTCGGGCCACAGGTTAAACATTTCTACTTTAAGAAAACCGTTAAATTGCATTGTTTATGTGCTACCTGGGCACTCTAAATATTTATTTAAAATTAAATCAAAGGAAATTGTAATGGTATTGAATGTTTATTAATTACTATTTCAAAAATGCATAATACATAAACATAAAAATGATAGTGATGGGGAAAAAGGCCGATCATATTTTTTTAACCCTGTCTGTCGAGTGACTGTTTAGCGTGACGTCTGATATATGTATTTATATATATCTCGCTATATATATATATATCTCGCTATATATATATATATATATATATATATATATATATATATATATATATACACATATATACATATACATATATACATATACATATATATATGGGGAAGAGAGGTGATTTAAGAGACTGTGAACGTGGCATGGTTGTTGGTGGCAGACAGGTGGCAGACAGGCTGGTCTGAGTACTCCAGAAACTGCTGATCTTAAAAAAAAAACATAAAAATGATAGTGATGGGGAAAAAGGCCGATCATATTTTTTTTAACCCTGTCTGTCGAGTGACTGTTTAGCGTGACGTCTGATATATGTATTTATATATATCTCGCTATATATATATATCTCGCTATATATATCTCGCTATATATATATATATATATATATATATATATATATATATATATATATATACACATATATACATATACATATATACATATACATATATATATGGGGAAGAGAGGTGATTTAAGAGACTGTGAACGTGGCATGGTTGTTGGTGGCAGACAGGTGGCAGACAGGCTGGTCTGAGTACTCCAGAAACTGCTGATCTTCTGAGATTATCACACACAACCATCTCTAGGGTTTACAGAGAATGGTCCGAAAAAGGAAAAATATTGAGTGAGCAGCAGTGCTGTGGGTGAAAACGCCTTGTTGATGCCAGGGGTCGGAGGAGAAAGGCCAGAATGGTTCGAGCTGATAGAAAGGCAACAGTAACTTAAATAACCACTCGTTACAACCAAGTTATGCAGAGGAGCATCTCTGAACACACAACACGTGGAACCCTGAGGCAGATGGGTTACAGCAGCAGAAGACCACACCGGGTGCCACTCCTGTCAGCTGAGATCAGGAAATTGAGGCTACAGTTCACACAGGCTCACCAAAATTGGACAATAGAAAACTGGAAAAATGTTGCCTGGTGTAATGAGTCTCGATTTCTGCTGTGACATTCGGATGGTAGGGTCATAATTTGGTGTCAACAGCATGACAGCATGGATCCATCCTGCCTTGTATCAATGGCTCAGGCTGCTGGTGGTGGTGTAATGGTGTGTGGGACAATTAATTGGCACAATTTGGGCCCTTTAGTACTAATTAATCATTGTTACAACGCCACAGCCTACCTGAGTATTGTTGCTGACCATGTCAATCCCTTTATGACCACAATGGACCCATCTACTGATGGCTACTTCATGCACCATGTCATAAAGCTTGAATCATCTCAGACTGGTTTCTTGAACATGACGATGAGTTCACTGTACTCAAATGGCCTCCACAGTCACCAGATCATCCCCCCCTTAAACCTGTCTGACACTCCCATCACGATGGTGGACTCATGTCGCTTCCTGGGCACCACCATCACCCAGGACCTCAAATGGGAGCCCACCATCACCACCATCAGAAAAAAGGCCCAGCAGAGGATGTAATTCCTGAGGCAGCTGAAGAAATTTAACCTATCACCACAGTCAATGAGGCAGTTCAACACCGCTATCATCGAGTCCATCCTCACCTCCTCCATCACCGTGTGGTATGCTGGAGCCACCACCAGGGACAAGAAGAGGCTGCAGCGTGTCCTGCGCTCTGCAGAGACGGTCATTGGCTGCAATCTCCCCTCCATTTAGGATCTGTACACCTCTAGGACATTGAGGCGTGCAGGTCGGATAATAGCCGACTCGTGTCACCCTGGACACAGTCTCTTCGACTCGCTCCCATCTGGCAGAAGGCTCAGATCCATTCGGACCAGAACCTCTCGCCACAAAAACAGTTTCTTCCCCTCTGCGGTTGGACTTTTGAATGAAAATCCTAGGGCAGCCCACTCAAGTTGATTGGTCCCAGTCACGTGACCCGATGCTGTGCTTGAACCATTCAACAAATACTCAGATTAATACCTACACGGAGTAGATAGCTGCTTCTCTAATTCTTGCCACTTTTTACATTAATAATTTTATCATGTGTTTTACTACTTCCTATATTTGCTTATCTCTTAATTATTATTTTTTCTCTATCTTACCTTCTGCACCAAAATACCGCAGCAATTTCCTAATGTTGTGACTTGGCACAAATATGGCAATAAAAACTTCTGATTCTGATTCTGATCTTAATCCAATAGAGCACATTTGAGATGTGTTAGGATGGGAGATTTGCATCATGGATGTGTAGCCGACAAATCTGCAGCAACTACGTGAAGCTATCATGTCAGTATGGACCAAAATCTCTGAGGAATGTTTTCAGTACCTTGTTAAATCTATGCCACGAAGGATTAAGGCAGTTCTGAAGGCAAAAGGGGGTCCAACCAACTAGCGAGGTATACGCAATAAAGTGGCCAGTGGGTGTGCATAATATAAATAAGAGTCTCATTGTTCACTGCTAATGTGCACAATCTGTGATTAAAACAGTGTGTGCTTCACAAAACTGAACACACTGGTGTGCACCAAGCCTAAACCCTCAGGTGAGACTTTCTTTTCTAGAACTAATTGCCAGGAGGTTTGGCACAAAGTGGAAAAACATATAATTTTTGACAACAGATAAAGCTCTTAGCGGTTTTGCTTTGATATCTCGAATTTAAGTCCTAAAAATAAAACACTCTCTTTCCCCAGTTTGTGTGAAGAATTGAAAAAAGAAGCAGAAAGGTGTGTGTGTGTGTGTGTGTGTGTGTGTGTGTGTGTGTGTGTGTGTGTGTGTGTGTGTGTGTGTGTGTGTGTGTGTGTGTGTGTGTGTGTGTGTGTGTGTGTGTGTGTGTGTGTGTGTGTGTTAAACTCAGACTAGTGAAGTATCTCTTTTTCCAACATGAACTGGCTACTTTTGAGCTGGTGGGGAGTCATGTGAAGTATCTATGGTGTGTGTGAACTCACAACAGAGCACACCATGATCAAAAATGAGCCAATCTGATCTTTTGGAAAGATTTGCTGCATCAAGCTTGAGTTTTGCTTGGTGCGCTCGAAATAAAAAACAGGTGCCCTGGGATTCTCCAGAACTCACAGATTGCCAGTCCGCCTCTGCTGTAGGATTCAAGCAGCATGGATTCTGGGCCTCGCCACCCTTTCTGCAGACTCTGGGACCTTTAGTTCCAAATGGCCGGCAGGCTGTATTTTAATCAGAAAAGAGGACTTCGGACCACTGAGCATCTGTCCAGTGCTTTTCCTCCTAAGCCAAGGCAAGATGTCTTTGACTTGGTCTCTGGTTCAGGGGTGGCTCGACACAAGAGATGTTACATTTGTAGCCCGTGTCTGCATGTAGGAACTCTTGATACTCAGACTCCAGCCACATTTCAGTCCTGGTGACGCTCCCACAAAGTCTTGAAGAGATTTAGCTTGACAGCCTTCTGAAGGCTGCTGTTCTTCATGTAGCTGCACCTTTTCCTGCCACACTCCTTGATTTAGCTTTACAGCAGTGTTTCTCAACTCTGGTTCTCAAGGCCCACTGGCCTGCAAGATTTCTATGTAGCCTTTTCAAACACCAGTGTTTCCCTTCTTCTTCTTCTTCTTCTTCTTCTTCTTCTTCTTCTTCTTCTTCTTCTTCTTGTTTATTGGCGGGTGGCATCTAACTTCTAGGTGCATTTCCGCCACCTACTGTGCTGGAGTGTGAGTCGAAGTAAGAGCGTATTAACAAAAAAACTAAATTCTATTCAACAAACCACTGTGTTTTAGATACTCAATAACCAACCTATATTTCCTTTCTTCACCATTTAACAAATTCTTTGCACTTATCACTCCACCTCCTATGTTTTTTAATCTCTCCCTGAGTTGTCGAGTGTTTCCCTGCTACCACACACCTGACTTAAATGAATGCACTTGATGTCCTCCTGAGGAGGCAATGTAAATCAGGTGTGCTGAAGTAGAGATATGGAAAGCGTACAGGTCAGTGGGTCCTGAGGACCAGGGTTGAGAAACACTGCCTTTCAGCATTTTAATAACCAGAAAATACCTCTGACCTTCAGTTAGCCACAAAATTACCTTCAGTAGCTTCCACTCTTTGTGAAGAGTGTCAATGACTGTCTTCTGGACATTTGTCCAGTCAGCAGTCTTCCCTGTGACTAGGTAGCCTGCAGACCCAGACTGAGACCATTTAGAGGCTAAGGAAAACTTTCATTTTTTCCACAATATTCCCATTTTTGTAGACACTGAATTTTGGATTTTTATTATCTGTAACCCATAATTATTAAAATTACAAAATAAATAAAAAATCAAATCTTTGAATCGATGAGTTTTACTTTCTGACATGAGCCACAACTCGTCAGTAAAAATGATGAAAATGAAAAAGCTTTGAATTGTGTCTCATATCAGGATACAGAACGGCTAATAAACATGTTCATGTTTTGATTGAACAAAGTTTCCTCATTTCCACTTTAAACAGAAATGCACAAATGCTTCCTGTTGTTTGCCGCTTTGCTATTTTCTGGTACAACCGTGTGGCTAGAAGCTTTTCTCTGTGGTTCTAATGAGAAGGCGTTAAAAGAAAAAAGCAAAGATTTATTGATTCGGCTCTCAGTGATTACTATGATGAGGAAAAACTCAAAGAAGCTGCGGCACATCGAACACTCTTACAAACACGTAAAAACATTATTTTTTAAACGTCGACATACCTGTCAACTGCAATGGCAAGCAGAGCATTTGTGGACACGTAGAGCGACACCGTCCGGAGATAGTTCACAGAGGCGCACAGCACCAATCCATGGTCCCAGGAAAGCTGTTTCACCACATAGTAGTCCACCAGGAACGGGCAGCACACCACCGCCACGATAAAGTCTGAGATGGCCAGATTAGCAATGAGCAGGTTGGTGAGGTTGCGTAGCTTTTTGTAACGTGTCAGCGTGGCGATGAATATGAAGTTTCCCAAGCCACAAACGAGCATGATGCACACGAGGACAATGCCGATGACGATGGTGGCCACAAAGAAGGCCTGTCCCTGTGTTGTGTCTGGGATCTCATCAGGGGGGACGCTATAGTCCATGTCATAGCTGTCCATGTACCGATCCAGCTTGTCATCGGAGTGACTGTCCTGCATCTCTGCAGCGGCTGCTATGATCCGGCTGACATTTGACTTCACCATGTCGGAGCACACACTACGTATTTTAAAAATAAACAAAACAACCCATCTTTGGTTATCATGTAAGGAAAAATGATGATTTGCACGTGTGATTTTCTTTAAATAATTTGATTGCTGATGAAAGGGTTAACAGCTTGACTCTTCGATGGAAGCTGAGTTACATTTTCACCTGGAACAGAAAGTTACCATCTCAGGATTAGGATTTAAAGCAATAAGGGGAAAAAAGAGTCAAAATAATAACCATAGTATAGGTCATGTGTTGTTTTAATTTATATTTCAGCTCTAATTTGAAGGGTCATATTCAAGCAAAAATGTAGGATTATATCAGATTCAACAAGCCACTGGAGTGGTCAATTAAATCCCACAGCATGCATATGAGATCAGAGGGAAAATCATCAACGACCCAGCTTCCAACCATGTCTGCTGACCCAAGGCAATGAGAGGGGAAATAAGAGACATATGATTCCAAAGCTAAACAAATAATCAAATCATAAAAGCTTCAAATAGGAGCCAATCAGGAGATAATGCAAAAATCTAAATAGTCATTTGGATTATGGATTTTAACTAGTTTAAATGTTTACTTTGAGGATTCAGGGCAACAAATGTTCCCAATGAGTCATTTAACAGCTAATTATGAGACATTTATAATATTTAGACACCTACCCGTAAACGTTGGATAAGGTTTTAGGGCTCCTCTCAATTTTTTTGTGTCCAAATGCGCCGAAATCCCGTTTTACAGGAGATTTTAACCACAGGAGACACGCAGTCGCTCCATCAGCCAGAACAGTCTGCTGAATCCGCGTCCAGCCGCTCCCGCGACGCGCCGCTCTGAGCAAAAGTTGCGTGTGCCTCTCCTCCGCCTCAAGTGATAGACCTGACAATGAGGCGTGAAGAAAACGCACACACGTCTCTGTGGGTGTGTGATAAAGCCTGGAGCGCGGTTGTGCTCAGAGGTGAGGGTGTAGTCCTAATTTATCCCCGTTTTTTTTTTTTTTTTTTTTTTTTTAACTACCGGTTCATCTGCGTAGAGAAATAAATCAACATTAAAAATCTTCTGTCCTACTTGATCACTGGACCAGCGCTTGGTCGCAATCCTGATGTTTGACAGATTATAATCAGTATTTCTCAGATTATAATCAGTGTGTCTATTCAAGCAATGAGAAAAAAGCCAGAGAGAGGTGGAAAATTTAGGTAATATTTTTTCCAGTAAAGTTGCTCATTATTGTGGTTTTATGCACACGTAAAATATCTGGAAGATGGTTTATTTTGATATAAATTACAATAGGATAAAATCTAAATTAAATTAAATTAAATTACATTATTTAGCCAGGAGAAGATGAGATTTAAAAAAAACTCTTTTTCAAAGGAGACCTGGTCAAGATGGGCAATGGCATGCATCATAGAAAACAATGTTACACGGTTAAAACACATGTAGAAACCACACAAAATATAATAAAAATAGTTTAAATCAACTGAAAGTTAGAACTAATCTAAATGAAACAGTTACATGTCATGGAGTTGGCCTCGGTTTAGATTTACTAACAGGATGACCACTTATTGTGATGACGTTTCTCATGTCTGTGTGTGAAAGTTCTCCACTTTCACGATAGTAATAGAATGAAAATATATTCAGCATAAGAGTTCTGTAATCAGCTTCACAGGATTTCTCATATTATGAATGAAATAGTCTCACCGGATATGACTTTTTTAGCCATTGAATTTATAACTTATTTTTTTCTGTGAACTTACATAATTGAATATTTTAATCCTTACCCTAACCCTGAAATTGCTAACCTGCACCAAAAAAATTTATATTTCTTTATTTTTAACTGCAGATTTTCATCATTTAAAAAATCAAAAGCAAAAATATACAGTAAAAATGTCATCTGTCAAAATTCAACAAAACTGAGATGAGATCCTGGTGACCCAAGCCAAAGTAATTGTTACTGGGTGGATTCGAGTGGCTTTTAACCAATCAAATTCTGCTTTGTTGATCATGTGACACCTGTGAGGTCCTCCCAATCACAGACATCTTATATAAAGGCCTGATGTGGACTGGCACTGCCTGTTGGAGCTGGCGTAGACGCGTGCCGCCATCTTGGATAGGTTCCCATTCGCCCCCAGTGCGTTTATATTGAGGAAGGTGCTACCCACCTAAAAACACGTTTATTATGCTTTTTCACAATGTCAGATATGTGGTATGGCATTATAATTAAAATTGAATTAAATTAAAATATAAAATCCCAACTGGTAGGCTAGATAGTAGATCTGTTTTCAATAGTGCGCTGGTTGTTGCAACCGAAGGCTGCACGAAAAACCAGCATAGGTGTTCACCCTGCATTGATTCCAGCTATGAGGAGTGACAACCACCCAATATGGCGGAGATGCTGTTACGCTTTCCAGCGCCCGCCCAATGGAGCTTCCACGTATTCATGTCTATGCATTCTATCCAGCAGCAATTGCTTTGGCTTGGGTCACCAGGAGGTCACCTCATTTTTAGTTGAACGTATGCTGTTGAATTTCTGATGTCAACATTCTGCAGTTGAATCTTTGCGGATGAAATTTTGGCTGGTGAATTGTAAGTAAAATGTAAAACATAATTTCACAGAATAAAAATGCATTGCCATAAATTCAATGTCTAAAAAACTGTCACATTCAGATGAGAGTGCATTTCCTCCATAAAAAACCCACCAACATACAAAACAATGTTTACACCAACAGATTTCCTTGAAGGTCAGTGGGGATCTTCAGAAATGTGGAGACATGAGAACTTTTCTTCTGATCACCTCCTCTGAGATCCAGACTTTAATCCAGCTTGGTTGGACAGAAACTATAATCCATGGCAATGATGAAGTCAAACTTTTAAGATGCACATACTTTCATCATCATCAACATCATCATCATCAGATAATAACATTTAGTCCTCAGCAGAGCAGCAAGATTAAAAAGCTGGATGAAAGTGTGACATTTTTAAATGAACATGTTAATTTATGATTTGCACAGCATTCTTCTATTTACATATAAGCGATCTGTCACGCCCTGTCCTGTCTTCTCTTAGGTTTTAGTCGGTGTCTCCGTTAATTGCTCCCACCTGCCTCTTGTTTCCCAATCACCATAGCTCCCTCTCCTCGTGTATTCAAACCCCTTCTGTTTTGTGTTCCATGTCGTGTCATTGTTTCCCATGTCCAGCGTGCATCATTAATAAACTTATGATAAAGATACCTACCTGTTTGCCTTCTTCCTCCCCGCGCTTGGATCCTCCTCTGATCACCTCCTCGCTGCCCGGCACGCTCGTGACACAATCCATCTTATTTCATTATAAAACAGCTTGTTTATCCATTTAAACTACAGTTTATATGGCAGGTATTTACTCCTGAATGTGTCTCAGACTGAATATGATGGCTCTCAGAAATGAGTTTCCTTCTGCACTTGGAAACCTATATTGCCTTTCTATGAATGCAAAGCCAGCCACCATGCTCGCAGGGAAATAATCTGGATAAGGTTCATTCATTTACCAACTCGATCATTGAGCTATGACATGCTTTTACATCATGCTGGAAGAAAACAACCCTGCACTTGCAAGAGATTGAAATACTTCTTTACACATTCATGATTTCAGCAGAGAAATGCAGGAGAATGGATCAAGGTTCAACTCAATTCTGCAAGACGTTCTTGCATGTCCCTATAAACGACATCATTTTCTTTTGCAAGAATAAACACTGAGATGGAAATTGAGCTTTGTAATTTGGCTGGACTCTTAAAATGCTTCGAGGCTGCACAACAAAAGACAATTCTTTAAAAAACAATATTAGTAAACAACAATAAGAAGAAAAAAGCTAGTTACTAGTCACATGGAGCAGGAATCAATGGCTGCTACAAGACAAAATGTTCACAGGTCTTTTTACTGCTGGGTTTTGGAGTTTTGTTATAATTTTTTACTGTAAGAAGTTTTTTTAATACATTTTTCATACAAATCAGGACAGAAACTTTCCAGTCAATAAACATTATGTCCAGAGGCAGCAGCAGCTGTGATTTTTAACCACTTTGGGGTGAAACTTGTTCTAGTTTTTGACCTTAAAACGGCCCATTAGACACATAGAATGCAAAAAGTGAGTATTTAAAAGTTCTCAGTGATCGCTGTGCCCATGTCAACATGATGGAAGCTAGTTCGTGGTTGTAGAGTCGGCGTGTCACTTGAAGCAGCCGTGGCAAGTGTCAGAAGTCTGCACTGTGCTCATAATTTACTTTAATGTTGCGTAGCTGTCACTGACCATGTGGGGAGTGAAATTATTGTACTTATGTAATCTGACATGGCGCTCCCACCTCCAGGCTTGGAGAACACTCTCTACAACGTCAGTCCTGGTTATCATGAGCAAAAATCTCCAGCAGGAAAACAACTTTTCTCTGTTTTTCCACTGATTGGCACAAAACTATTAGAGACAGATTAACCCACTAACCTTTATCATAAAGTAGATTTGATTTGGAAAAAGTCTGAGATTCCACTCTCGCCGATCTTTCCTGTTAATTTAATTTTTATTTTTGCTTTAGGGAAGCAAATGATTTAAAGGGTTTGTGGCATCCAAGGCACAGCCAAGCTGTGCAGAAATTCAAAACTAGCATGCTGTTGCTAGTATTAATACACGTTTTAGCTTTTAACATGATTTATTGTTTGTCCTCCTGGAAAAAAAGAAAAGACAATTACATGTGATAAATATTCAAAGGCCTGGTCAGATTCATTATCTTCAGAAATGGATTCAGTTGCATAAGTGGGTCATTTGAATTTGAAATCACTTTCATCTAGGACTTCTTAATGCTAATAACAGTAGTAGTAACAATAATGAACTGAATTTCTATTTAAAGCATTATCCCAGCATGACTAGTTAAATGTGTAAAAAAAAGCCCAAATAAAACAATAATGTATGTTCTGTGTTATCATTCCGCCCCTGAATATGTGTTTTATCCTTGACCTTTGCCAGTGGATGTATTTAAGGGTCACTGAATGACCTTTTGAATGATTTTCCACATCCTGCAGCAGCAGACTATTTTCACTGTAGAGCCTCCCAATGTGAAAACAGCAAATCCCAGAAATGTGGTTGTTAAATGATAAATGGCCTGTATTTGATATAGCTCCTTCTACATTCCTGGAACCCTCCAAGGTGCTTTACAACACAATCAGTCATGCATCCATTCACACACACATACACACCCTGGTGGTGATGAGCTACATTGTGGCCGCAGCTGCCCTGGGGCGCACTGAGAGGCGAGGCTGCCGAGCACTGGCGCCACTGGTCCCTCCGACCACCAAAAGCAGGCTAAGTGGGTTAGGTGTCTTGCCCAAGGACACAACGACAGCGACAGACTGAGCAGGGCTCGAACCTGCTATCTTCCGATTACGGTTAGGTTTCTTCAAATTTGATTATCCAGCTTTCTTGCTTTTATTATTTTGGGGGAAAAAAAACAGACCAAATATCGATTTTAAGATACCCTTAATGGTTTTTAAGTGTCTTAATGGTCTTGGCCCGTCCTATCTCTCACAACTGCTTTTACCATATGAATCCTTGCGGTGCCTGCGCTCCTCTGGCAGCCATCTCCTTGTCATTCCTAAAGTCAGGACACACACTCACGGTGAGATGTCTTTTAGTTATTACGGCCCTCGCCTCTGGAGTGGGCTGCCGGAGGATCTCAGGGTCGCAGAAAACGTTCATGTTTTTAAGATCAGGCTCAAGATGTTACGGCGTGTGGGCGAAGTGAGCGGAGGTGAGGCGAGGATCCAAACGCGGGAGGAAGACAGGCAGACAGGTAGGACGTTTATCATAAACTTTAATAAGAAACATGCAGGACACTGAAACAATGAACCGACACAAGACACAAAACAGAAGGGGCTTAAATACAAGAGGGCTGGGAGCTAGAGTGATTGGGAAAACGAGAGGCAGGTGGGAGCAATTAACGAGACA